TGTATCATCCAGAAATGGTTGGATAAATTTAATTGAAATTGGATCAAAAGTATATGTCAGATAGAAAATAATGAACTAATCGGCTCGTGCAGGTGGAAGACAAGACTCTGTTCTCAAACTGGAATCCAAGCAAACGTCGTGCGACCTCAGGTATGCCTTGATTTCTTTTATTACAATCATTCGAAGAACGCATTCTGAATCGGCTGGATTAGAGTTGCTGACACCACATGACCACTCAGAGACAAGAGACGAATAATCACAAACAGCCATACAAAAGAGAAGGAATATACTGGGGGAAATCCCTATACATGCATGTAACATTTAACATCTACAGGAGAGATTATTTATAACTAATTTTTATCCACAAAGACGGAATTTATTTTGTAAACATTAACATTAACATAATTGAACTTATATTGCGCATATTACCATGTAGATATGTTCATATGCGCATTAAATGAAAATCTAAAATTTAAATTACAGTTACTATATTATAGTTATTTACATCTAAACTCAGAGTTCACTTTATAAAAAAGTATTTCAATGTTCAAAGGCCATTCTATATAAGTAGGTTTTCAATGCCTTTTTAAATAGATTTAAATTGTCCATATTACGAATATATGCTGGCATAACGTTCCAAAGTTTTGGAGCAGCTGATTTAAATGCTCTCCCACCAAGAGTCGTCAAACATTTTCCTGTTGGTGGCAATAGTGTCAAACTTCCACATGATCTTAAACTGTACCTAGTATGCCTTCTAATGTTAATAAGATCCATTAAATATTTTGGGGCTAGTCCATGTATGCATTTAAAAGTTAACAATAAAATTTTATACTGAATCCTGTAAACAACAGGCAACCAGTGTAGGGCGTCCAAGACGGGTTTAATGTGACTGAATGTGAAATACCGGTGACCAATCTTGCAGCATTGTTTTGAACACGTTGGAGTTTCGTCATATGAACAGCTGGAATACCGTAAAGCAATCCATTACAGCAGGGCGTAGTAAAACACGGGCGAGGAAACGCGCGGTAATCGCGCTGATCTATGTGTGATGCGGCTGGAGACTGGCGAAAGCGCGCGTTTTGCGAGAAATACAAAAAGAACGGCACAAAAATGGCAACAAAAAGATTTGCCGAAGACTACGAAATAACGAACGAAAATATAGGTAAGTTTTAAATTATTACATAATTATTTAACGTAATTTGAAAGAAACACTATTATACTTCAGCTTTACTTAATTAAAATAAACAAAAAGCGCATTGCGTTGTAAAATGTCAATGTTTTAAGAAATGTTTTGATTTTTGTTCCCTTCAAAATTTGTTATTTTTGCGCACAAAGTCAGGTTTTAATACGAGTTTTTTAACGCTCTAGGTAGTCCTAGGTGAATTTGATAGCACAAAAAGTTTCCCAAATTAACATACTTGAGAATAATTAAAATTAAGAGTCGGACTTTTTTGGACTTTTTTTGCTATAACTTTTTTCCCTGAACATAGTGCTGTTCATCATTTGTATCGCAAGGAGAAGCAACGCAAGTTAACACGAAAGTTTTTAAAATATCAAGCGGAACATTTTAAATATTGTTCAATCTAATTATATTGCCACAATATTTGATTTTAGATACAAATAACATTCCCCAAGCCGTCAAAGACATAATTAGTTCAAAAACAATTAGTTTCAAAAACAATATATAGATCATGTCAGCTCGATAAAGTACAGCGTATACGGCCATTTTAGAGGCCATGTTTACGTTTTGAAAAAGAACCGCGGAAAAATTGTATTTTTGCGTGTAGTTTTTTTTATAGGTGTGAAACATCCCCTAAAAAATTGTAAAAACTGAAATCAAGTCATAATATATCAGAATTTTTTTAAAAGAAGACAGACTTTTTCGTCGAAACATATTTTTTTAGCCTTAAATTTCAGCATGTCAGCTCGACAAACTGCCGAGAGAATACGGCCATGTTTACGTTTTGAAAAAGAACCGCGGAAAAATTGTATTTTTGCATGTAGTTTTTTTCCTAGGTGTGAAACATCCCCTAAAAAATCGTACAAACTGAAATCAAGTCATAATATATCAGAAATTTTTTAAAAGAAGACAGACTTTTTCATCAAAACATATTTTTTTAGCCTTGAATTTCAGCATGTCAGCTCGACAAACTGCCGAGGATGCGGCCATGTTTACGTTTTGAAAAAGAACCGCGGAAAAATTGTATTTTTGCGTGTAGTTTTTTTATAGGTGTGAAACATCCCCTAAAAAATTGTACAAACTGAAATCGAGTCATAATATATCAGAAATTTATCAAAAGAAGACAGACTTTTTCGTCGAAACATATTTTTTTAGCCTTGAATTCCAACATGTCAGCTCGACAAACTGCAACGGACGTATTTAAAATAGTGTTTTCTCCTCGTTGAGATAGGTTGAGATAAATTTGAACACACCAAACTATAGACATTTAACTTGGCTTTATGTCTCAAGTAAAATTGAACGGTGCTTTTTTGTGCTTTTTTCAGAAAAAGGAGATATCTTGCAGCCCTTATAGTTTTCCGTATACTCCACACGACAATAGAGACAACTCATTTATGCAGATAATACGATGTTTAAACAACACAAATTTTCAATTATTAATTAAACGAAATCACTTCCTGCCTCAAATACATACTATAAATGTTTATTGAAGTATCTAGTATCAGCTTATATTGCTAAAATTGGTATCTATTTCACTTGCAAAATGAACAAAGCGATTGTTGAGGAAAAGACATGCATTTTGAACTCGATTTTGACGACATTTTTTCTTTTTTGTCAAAGCGCGGACGTATTTAAAATAGTGTTTTCTCCTCGTTGAGATAGGTTGAGATAAATTTGAACACACCAAACTATAGACATTTAACTTGGCTTTATGTCTCACGTAAAATTGAACGGGGCTTTTTTGTGCTTTTTTCATAAAATGGAGATATTTTGCAGCCTTTATAGTTTTCCGTAACACTGTCACTGTATAAATGTCAACGACTGCAGTCGCACTTTACAAGTAACACTTTGTAGTAAAAAACACTTTACAATGAACTTTCAATGGATTCCAAGCAGGCCGGCTCATGGTTAACACAAAAACGGTTATATATTTAAGTTTTCAAATTGTTCGAGCAAATTGTAGTTTTGTTTTTTTTCAAATTCTAGCTGTTTCAAATGCATGCATGGTCAATTTTCGGCTATATAATTATTGAAAAATAATAGCCAAGCAATGTCAGAATATTCTTACTGTGAAAATGTTTATCCTACCTTCGCATTATGAAGTAAAATATCCCATTTCATACCAAAATTTTCGTATAATATTTTTGGAATATGCCCACATTCGATCAGCTCGATTCCTTTTCAAATTTTTATTTCGCTCATGATGAATCTTTTTAAAGCCCTCTTTCCTTCATCAGATATACAGAAAATGAATCCAACAATGTCTTCAAACCATCAAGTTGTTTAGGAATGTGCAGAAAACAGTTTTTACTTTAGTTTTTTCAGCTCTTTTTTGCATAAACATTCCAATTCCATTTTTATTGACATTAAATTAATGTATACGGGGGGTACGCGCATCACACAAAGATCAGGGGCGCTATCTCCGTTTCACCGCCCGTGTTTTATAGCGCCCTGATTACAGTAATCAATCTTACTTGAAATAAGTGCATGCACCAAACACTCCACATCCTGGCGAGTTAAATACTTTCGTATTCTACGGATGTTCAGTGGCGGCGCCAGGCTTCCAAATTTGGGGGGGCATTTGAGGGGCAAACTCAAATTTTGGGGGGGCAAGATCGAATTTTTAAAAAGGTCGCCCCCCAGGAAATTCGCCCCCCCCCTCAAAACGTGGCGATATTCCTAGGAATATCGCCCCCGGGGGCGAATATCCTAGGAATATCGCCTCCCAGGGGGGTGGGGCGAATACCCTAGGAATATCGCCCCTCTTTAGGACATTCGCCCCCCATATATGCGATGTGATTTATTCAAATAATTTCGTGATACTTTCATCTTATTATTGCCTTACACGTTTGAGAATTTAACTCTGCAAAACTAAAGCTTTTTTGTCTTTTTTTGAAACGTATTACTGGAGTATTGGCAAGTTTTACCATTCAGAGATTTACAAACTAATATTGAAACTGTAAAAAACAGTTTCATGTATACGCGCATTCACAAATGAGTAATGACAACTTATAAGCCATACATTTTCCGATAACGACAGAACACTTGTGTAGCCTTTAGTCGTTCTTAGTGACTAATATTTTTTTTTGAGGGGGGGGGGCAAAA